GGAGTTATTGGTTTCATTGTGCTCTTGGAGTAAGACGATGAAACAATAAAATAATTTTCTGAATTTCATAAATAAGGTTTTATTTATTTATTTTGCGCACTATTTACAAACATAAAGGTCCGGATCAAATTGTGGAGTATATGATCATATGGATATGTTCATGGAGGACATGATCATAGGTTCTCACAATTAATGAATGGAGTCACAGCCGTTAAATAAAGTTGAGCACTTTATTCAGGTTGCAATATTTTATGAAATGATTTTGTCCGAATCATTGTAAAATATTGGTGTGAATTAACATTCACATTGAAAGGATCAAGGAGAGATTTGATTAAGGTTGTTTTTCTGTCATAAGGTATCAAATCTCCAGTTAACTATAGTTATGTGATTGCTCTTAATCCTGAGTTTATTATAAATAGGTAATCAAATAGTTTTCATTCTTTGATTTACCAACGGGTGAGGTTCGATCTATTGACGACCAATAACTCGGTATTTTGGGAGTGAGATTATTTGATTATCGGTATTTATGAGATAAACAACATGGAATTTGTAGGATATGTCCCCTTGATATGTTTCGGTACTTGGATATTAAAGACACTGGCCAGTGCATGGAATCCATCAGAGAAACTATCATGTCAAGGGAATAAATAATTGATTGAGTTACAGAAAACTTGTCAATCAATTATAGACATTCTACAAAGGGGCGATGCAGATTAATGTTATAAGTGTTGTTAATCTTGGAGTTCAAGTTTGGGCTTTTAGTGGAGTAGCACCGAATTAAATAATCATTCGTTGATTATCAGGAGCCTTGATTAATAACATATGGTAGATCCCCAAGCTAGCTTGAGACAAGGGATGGGGTATTTTTCGGATAGATGATGACTTATGGGTTACATGATCTTGGGTTTTACGACTCAAGTTTGGATCCAAAAGAGCAAGTGGGAGATTGTTGGGTTTGCTCTTTTACTAAAGCCCAAATGGGTTATTAGTATGAGAAGAGCCCAAGGAACCTAGAGCCCAATGAGCTAGGGTTTCTTGGAACCCATATAAATAGTACCTCTTAAGTCATCAGCCTCAAAGGTCTTTTTTGTGAGAAAGAGGCAAGCTCAGAATCTAATCAGTGCCCACACACTTCCCCTTCCTCCTCGAGAGATAGTTTGGAAGATCTGCCACAGTCCAGCTTCAAGGAGGTTGTTCGTGCTGCGGCGCTGAGGTGAGCTGTTCGTGAAGAGGAATCCTACAAGGGAAGATTCTACACGAGACCTGCGCACCGAGAGGTAATTGTGAAACAAGGATGATTCGATAAGCATACCAATGTACTAGGTCTTAAACCGCTTCCGCATAAATCTAAGATTTCCTACAGATAGTATAAATATGAGTGATCAAATGTCATTTGTAGTTTAATTTCGTTTGTTTTTTGGGCTTTTTGCCCTACTTATTTACGAAAAAAATAAAATAAAAATTCTCATACCTTGAACAAGCATTAGAAAGAGAAGCATCGAAGGTGGTGGTGAGGATGTCGTGAAGCAATGTTTCTGTTCAAAAAGAGAAAGAAGAGAGAGAAAGAGCATAGCAATGTGAAAGATAAATTATTTTTGTCTGAAAGTTTTCCCACCGAATGGGAATCTGAAAATACTGCCCACTCGGTGGTATTCTCACTTGGTGTTTCCCTCACAAAACAAAATTATGGGAAATATCAAATGATCCTCTCGAACTGTTGCACCATGTTTGGTGAGCACAGTGACCACACTAGATGAATCACTTCCAATAAAATCACATTTCGATAGCCAACGTTCCAAGCTATCTCATGCCCCCTCAATACTCCCCACAACTTTACCGTGAAATAGTTACAAATTCCAAGTCTAGAAGCAAACCACCCTAGCCATTTTCCTTGGGCATCATGCATCACGCCTCCACGAGCAGCTAAACTAGGGTTATTTCTTGAAGCTCCGTCTGTATTTAACTTCATGAATCCAGCACAAGGAAATTGCAAAGCTACATTGATGATCACACTTCTCTTCTCTGCACCTCTGTTGATTTGATTTTTAGCCACTTTACCCATTTCCTTAACAAGATTCCGGATAAGACTCTTTTTGACAACTCCTATGATCCCTCGACCCCCATGATGAACCTCACTCCACCAAGACCAAAGCTTATAATATGTTATGAAGAAATAAGATAACCAATCATATCCAACGACTTCCACATCTTTCAAAACAAAATTGAAACAATCCATTGATTTAATTCACCACAAAAAAAGTTTGCATAACCATTAGTGGGCACAAGTCTAAGTCATAAGGATTTTGCTGCGTCACAATCCCTAACTGCATGGATTATGGTCTCTTTTTCCTTCTTGCAAACTGGGCAAATATAATTCGTGTCACCCTATTGTGTCAGCCTACATTTGGTAAAAAGTATGTTGTGCATTAGTTTCCACGTTAGAATTTTAGTCTTTTGTGGGCCACACCATTTCCACAAAGTGGACCACAAATTGCTTATGATGCTCTCAATAAATGTTTGACCCATAAGAGAGCCATTAATACCCTTAACCGATATGGTATTTGTGTCAACTAACTCCCAAGTTTTTCAATCCAGACCATCTGAGTCTCTAGGAGGGAGGGTACCTCGAATGATACCCATCATATCAGTAGGAAGCTAATGTGCAAAATATTCATAATTCCATTCTCTTTCTAAGGTTAGCATATCAACAACCTTACACTCAACATTAATACTATTATCCCACCTAATGGCTCGGTCTTGCTGGGAGTGTTTTGGAATAACCCACTTATCCTGCCAGAAGCTAATATTTTCCCCATCCCCAAGCTCCAACACAAGTCTACATTCCATCTCCTTCCACACCCCACATAAGTTCTTCTAAAGGGGTGACTCACCACCTCGACGCATAAAAGAACCATGTCTGCTATTTTTGTCCACATACTTCACCTGAAGGATCTGTGCCCGGAGATTGCCAGGCTCAACAAAAAACTTCCAAGCCCTCTTAGCTAAAAAGACATCATTCATAATATAAAGAAGCTTTAAACCCAAACCACCATTATTATTTGGCAAAGTGATGGTGCTCCAGCTGATTAGGTTATGACTTTTCTTGTTAACCTTATCACCCCAAATAAAAATCCTTTGAACTTTCTCAATCTACATGCAAATAGCGTATGGGATCTTGCAACTCTGTATTTGGAAGTAGGGAATGACAGATATAACTGATTGAGCCAGGGTAATGCGCCCAACCTGTGACAAGCATTATTTTTGCCAAGAGTTTAGTTACATTTAACTTTGTCCACGATTATAGCATATACTTTCCCACAAAATTACTTATGACAAAAGTGAAAAAAAAATTGAAATTTATATTTTTATAAGTAAATAAAATAAAACATTTTCAATTACGGCTTCAGATAATAAGAATGGTGTAGGGTAACAATTAATGTCAACAAACTGTATTTGTGTCTGGTCAAACTAAGACACAAATATAAATACATGAACTACTATAGTTTTGTGTCCAAAGTTTTGACACGAACATGAACTACTAATTTTACAGATCGCACAATATGAATAAATTGTAAAACCTAAAAATATCTCGTTGATTATGTAAATTAATACATCATAATATGATTACAAAAAAAATATATATACATCATGAATAACCTCAAAGTAACTTAACACAAATGTCTCATGTAAATAAATTGACACCTAATATAAAACATTTATTGTGTTAGTTTTTGCTAAAAAAATCATGAAATGAATTAAAAAATAGGTAAACTCTATACAAAATTTTCATATCAACCGATCATATTAAAATTTACCTTTAAAAAAAGATAAACTAAGTAAAAAAAAACACAACCATGAGAAAGGCATTTCGCTTCACGCAAAGCGCATGAAAATCTTCGGAAGTTAAAAGGAATCACAAAAGAAAGTACAAGTTAAAATGAAAAGAAACTTTTCTTTTTTAGGAAGGATTATATTAAAGAAGTGAAATACTTTTATCATATCTATATCTATTATAAAGCAAAACTATTTGTTGGCAAGTTTGATGACATGTCAATTTCTCATGCATTCTTCACTTTGTGCGAACATTACAAATAACTTATTTTTTTTTCCACTTTTAGAAAAAATTCAAATTCAAATTATCATTATTTTTTAAAATTTGTTAGTGGCAGACAACTGTATAAATGTCTCACTACTTTCTACATTAAAATTGTTAACCCTATTAATTGTTCCCACTAATTTATAGCAGGGGTAATTGTTAAGCCTATTAATTGTTCTCACTATTTTTTGCATGGGTAATTATTAATCATATTATTTGAGTTAGTACGTTTAATTTTTCAATAAACACTTCATAGTTGAAGTTAAATGTGATAATTCAAAAGACTATTAATTATCTTAATTGCATAAAATGCAGTGATATATTTTTATGATTTGCGTTAATTTTTACGAGAAAGACAAATCAATTTATTTTTCTCCCCGTGCATCGCACGAGTAATACACTAATATAATAGTGTCACAGTCTTTCATTTTGAGATTAATCAAAGACGGTTATAGACAATTTGATCTTTTTACTCCGTGCATCGCACGAGTAATGCACTAGTTACGTGAAAAAACTTATCTTATATTATACACTTGTCAAAATTTGAATCAATATTTTTATTTTTTTTAGCTGTGAACCTAGCTAAAATGCTATCTCATGTAAGCATTGTCCATTAAAAAAATTTCCCCTAAATTAAGGCGGATTCCCAAATTTAAGTCAAATTCACGAACCCGCGGAATTCGAGCCGAGCAGAACTAGATTATCCTTTGAAGTGTCTAAATTAAATTTCAACAGCACAAACTAAGTAGATTTGTTTTTTTTTTTCACTAAAGTACACAAAATTTAACTTAACTCAAATTAAATGTCATTTTTTAGTTACATATAGTTATATACTTCATTTCTTTTGGATATATACACCTATAGCGATGTATTATATTCCTGGACTAGTATTATAGGAGGATAGGATAGCACTTATCAGGAATTTTCGTCTCCTAAATTTTCCGAAAAACTCACTTTTACTTCTCTCTCTATTTCCCCCCTAATTATCGGTTTGTATCGGAGGAAAAGAAAGAAATAAAAAACCCTAATTGTTTTTCATCGGAAAACCACTGTTGGGCCTTAAATCGGCTTCGATTGGAGCGATTATAGAGCTTCAATGGTGTGAGTCTGTGGAAGATCTGGAGGAAGAGACGCTGATACAGCATAACCAATGGCCGATAAAGAGCTAGAAGAGCAACTTCTTGAAGCTGGTAACAAGCTCATAGATCCTCCGTCGTCGGTGGAGGAGCTCCTCTCACTTTTAGATGTAATCACACTCTTTCCTCTCTTCTATCAAATGAGTATTTTAACATTTTGCTCGTGATTTTCGAGTTTCTTCTCGGTGTCATTTATTTTCTTTGATATATTTTGTGGTCGTTAGGATGTTGGTGAATGCCATTGCTGTCTCTGTTGTTGCCATACCTTGATCATTTCTATTAGCTTATCTCCTCGTTTAATGTATATTATATCAATCAGTGGAGTGGAGCCCAGAAATCGTAAAATTGCAGATGAAATTGCTAGGTTGTGATGTCTTCGCAAGGCTTTGGTAGAAAAAGATAAGTAATTGGAATGTTTAATACCTAATTGTTACTACTATCACCTTAATCGGTCTAGCGATAATGGTATAAGTGTTATAGCATTTGTTAAGTTATAATAAAAGTTCTTATACAATATAATCATATATTTTATTTTCTCCGCTGCATGCTTAAATTGAATGGGGTTTTAATTGTTAATTGTATCAGCATCGATCTTCTTGATTGTTTGCTTAGGGATGTCTCAAACATGTTATGAAAGTGGAGAAAACTGAATTTGGTCCTGATACTGACTTCGATCAGTTTTTATCAATTGTCAGAATTAGTGATCATGTACAGAAGAAATGACTTTTAAATAGAAAAAACCCATGATTGCTTTCAGGATTGGGTTGGACTGATAGATAGAAGTATATAATTAGAGGAAGAGGTAAACATTTTATGTAACCTCTTTGGAAAAGGCATGTTGGTATGGGCAATGTTTGTAGAAGAACCATGCACTTCCTTGTCTTTGAAAACTGTGATAGTCATGAGTGATGTAAATGTGATTATTATTCAATTCTGAATCTAGATATTTGGAATGGAGAGCAAAAAAATAAAATAAAATCACTGACCTCCTCAATTGAGGGGAATAGATGCTTTCATTTTGATTTCCAGAAGCAAGCTGTAGAAATTAAGTTTTTAGTCTGATTAATAACTTTGGAACTGCATTGTTTATCCCTAATTTAGAACATTTTATTACTAGGTGGATGTGGTCATTTTGATTGAATTCCATTTTATAAAACAAAACTCGATGCTTGTGGATTATCTATCTTCCAACAGCTGGCCAGTGGTATCTAAGATGCAACTACATTTGTTGGAAATGAACTTTATGCCACATTTTTCTTTTTGTTAAAAGGATACAAAAGTGTAGTATAAGGAATTCTTTAGGAGAAACTAAAACAAGAAAATGTCAATTATCTCTAAAGAGCATTCTAGTCCCCTTATAAATTAGGTCTGTTCTGCAATAAACTTCAATATAAAAATATTTTGATTGTAGAAAATGTATCTAGTTTCTTGGAAAAAATGTGATACAGTCATGTTCATTCCCCAGGTTTAATAAGTGGGAAATTTAATAGCATATTAATATCTTTTGGATTGATGAGTTATAAATTAGACTATTGTTGCAGCACATTTATCGTGTATTGATTCCACTGTTTGACTTTTTGCAAATACAATTTTAGAAAAGGATACTTATTAAATAAAGATTTTATGTTTGCAAAATATGGATTATTATTGGCTATGGTACATCAGGGGGTGTTCATAGAAATCTTTGGGGCTCGTGATACTAGTTTTTCTGATGAATTTTTTTTTGTGAGCAATATATCATTTTTGGAGAAGTTATAAACTTCACGTTTACATAACTGGTTGTATTCTCTATATACTTTAGCTGTCCTCCTTGTTTTGTTGGTGTTGTATATTGCTGTTTCTTGCTAACATATTATAAATTAGCCTCATGCATTACCAAGATGTGTGAAAGACAAGCATTGTTTAACTTCCTTTCTTCACCTAGGCTCCTTTTTTAGCTTCACAGATGATGGAGAATTGTTAAGGTTTGATGTCTCTGAATTTAGGCAACTGTAAGATAGGCCAAGTTCACCATTCTATTATCTAAAAAATTTAAAGTACAGCATGGGTATGAAGTGAGGTGAAGCTGAAAAATTATTCTCTAATAAAAGATTTGCAAGTCTCAGAACATACTCCGAGCTTAATGGTTGATCAAAGTTTTGAACATTTTTTTGTGATCTCGTATTTTTTTTCTTTGCACTGCAGCAAGTTGAGAGTTGCCTATCAAAGGTTGAGCAATCACCTACGAACTCTATGCAAAATGCACTCTCTCCATCATTGAAAGCATTAATTTCGGAAAAACTTTTAAGGCATTCAGATGCTGATGTCAAAGTTGCAGTTGCCTCTTGCATCAGTGAAATAACAAGAATCACTGCACCTGATGCTCCTTATGATGATGATCAAATGAAGGTATGCACAATTTTTATCTACTACAATTTCAATGGACCTGACTATTATCATGCTCTTTACAAAAGACTTCAATTCTATGAAGCACGGACACTAACACGGACATACCAAAATCCATAGTTGTTAGAATCGCACAATTCGATACTATTTGCCATGTTAGTGATTTGTATCATGTGATTAATCAAAGATGGCTCTGAATTGTGCGATACATGCATGATTCTTTCATCAATTCTCATAAAAGAAATTATTAAGTCAAATAAGCTTAAGTTCTTAAATAAAAAAGAACTACAGGAATGCTATTGAATGCACCCTATTTGATTATTCCATTGAAACTAGGGCGTCACAGAGAGTTATTCACTCACTCACTCGCTCTAGGCATTTTATTTGGCTATTCCATTGCCTTGTTTTCTTTCTTCTGAAACAGAGGTTTGCCACAATCAGTCACTCACTCTATGTGCACCTTATTTGGCTATGTCATTGCTTTGATTTTGTTCTTTTGAAGCATAAGTTTCATGCAATCATTTTTTGTAACTTAATTATGACATGATTCATGATTTTGTTTTTTGAGACTCATGGCTAAGTTGTTTTGTTAATTCCTAGTTCCTAGTTTAAAATTAGTACATTGAGCATTATTCATCATTTATATGATATATTTCAAGCTATTTTTCATTGTCTCTTTGAATCTTATGATTTGATATGATTTACAATTCAAAAATTAGCTTGGTGATTCATGATTTGAATTTTGATTTGACAACCTTATCAAATTCTATAAATTGTAGGACATAGATACAACATATATATGCGTGTTTGTGTTGGCAAACCTTAGTGCACAAGGCTCCCCTACTTTGCGAGGGTAAGGGTGAGGGTTGATTGCAGTAGCTTTACCCTTATATTTTTTCAAAGAGGTTGTTTCCTATATATAAAGAAAAATATTCATTATATGTGCCAATAGTTGCTATTTTTTAAGACCCTCCCAAAAAATGGAGCATCAGTTCTATTATTTTACCAAAAATTTCCCAAATGAAATTTTCATAGTAGAACTAGCCATGCACAAGTACCCCCGCCCCCCGCCCCCAAATTTTTTTTAAGGGGTTGCGTTTGAGCCAAAAAAATGATTTTAAGTTGGACTCGTACTGATGCATGTCGGGCGCATGTCATCAGTATGTCACACAATTATTTATGTTGTACACATGTCTGATACGCGAACATGGCACCAAAATGGTGTGTTTGTGCTTTATATCATCAGTTGAATTTACTGGTGACATTTTTCGTGCAGGAGATCTTTCAATTAACTGTATCTTCGTTTGAAAATCTACATGATAAGTCCAGCCGATCATATGCTAAGAGGACCTCAATTCTTGAAACTGTTGCAAAAGTCAGATCGTGCGTGGTAATGCTGGACCTTGAATGTGATGCTCTGATTTTGGAGATGTTTCAGCATTTCTTGAAAGCAATAAGGTAATAGGCTTCAGATACTTTGTCATTTATGTTTCTACTTCAAACATGATCTGATCTTTTCACAGCACAGTCTGTGTGAACTATCTTATTATGTTTTTTCGGCTTAATACCTTGTAAACATGTAGTAACTTATGTGATTACTTTCTTCCATATTTTCAGTATATATATACAAAAGCATTTCTTTAGACAGTTGCTGACAATTATTGTGAGGACGTGGTTCTAACCAGCTTCATTGGAAACTTTCAGGGAACATCATCCAGAGAATGTTTTTTCATCCATGGAAACAATTATGACCCTTGTTCTAGAGGAAAGTGAAGATATATCCCTGGACTTACTTTCTCCACTCCTGGCCAGTGTTAAGAAAGACAATAAGGTTGGAGTTTGACAGTTTTGATTTCATTCTTCTAAATAGATTGTGGTTTTGAACTTGAACCTTGTTTCAGTGTTCATATTTTTATCACTGTGATACAGGAAGTTTTTCCAATTGCTCAGAAATTGGGGGAGAGGGTTCTTGAAAGTTGTGCAACCAAGCTTAAACCCTACTTAGTGCTAGCAGTGAAAACCTTGGGTATATCTGTGGATGATTATAGTAACGTACTTGCTTCAATATGCCAAGATACATCTGATAGCTTGGAGAAAAATGATGTATGTGTTACTAGTGAGCATTTGATAAGTTTTACTTTCGTCTTTTGTCAGTTAATATTTGAAATATTTCATGATCTTCTTTTGGTCATCTTGATCTTCTTCAGGAAGATAAGAGCGAATCAGCAAAACAGTCACTGGAGGAGTCATCAACGCAAGTATGTTCCCCTCTCTTGTGCATTTGTTTTTATTCGTCTGTTCTGGTTCTGAATTTTATCTTTCACAATTGAACACTGGAATATGTTAATTCTGGTTTGATCAGGGGATTAAAGAGGATGCAAGGGAAGCGGAACCTTCTCACCAAGATAATCATGTTGGGGATAGATCTCCCAAATCGGTCATGAGCAATGGTGTTGCATGTGTTGGAGAAGAAAATGCTTTAGCAGATTCCAAGCCCATTAAAAAACAAGAAGATGCTGATTATTCTGATCACTCCAAAGGTATGAATATATCTGATCATGAGGAGCTCAAAGATTTGGAAGCTGGAAAAGTTGACAATAGTGAACAAAAGCCAAAACAAGGCCGCAAGAGGCGAGGAAGGAAATCACACTCTTCAATGGCAGAACCTTCTTTGGTTCAAATTGTTACTAATGAGAAGGAAGCTCACAAAGTGCTTGATTCTGAAAGTAACATCAAGGAAGTTCCCAGTTCCCCTCTCGAGGACCATTCTGTTGGAGCAGCAGGACCTTCAGAGAATGACAAAGAGAATGATGATAAGATTTCATCACCAAAAGCACGAGATGTTGAATCCGATGCTGTTGTTTCTCCTTCACCGACTGAGAGCCTCCACAACTTAAATCATTCCAAGAAACTTGGACGAGCAAAAACAAAAGATGGTCCTGCAAAAGAAGGGGCTGGAGAGGATGTTTCAAAGAAGGAGTCTGAAGGAACAAGTGATTCAGAAGCCAAACTTGCCAGGCGGTCAGTGAAAAAGACACTTGGTCAGAACTCTGATGTGAAAAAAACTACTGTGGAAGATTCAGTCAAAAAAGGAAATGGGGATGCAAGTGACAAAGATGCTAAAAAGCACTCGGTCAAGAAATTAGATGAAAATGACAGGGTTGGTGGTGGGTCCTCTTTAAGGCTGCCAGAGGACAAGAAAAAGTCAGGGCGGGGGAAAGGTAACTCTGAAACAAGTGTAGCAAAAACTTCTGGTATTGATGTAAATAAGGTACTTTTGTGCTTTCTATGGTGCCTGTTTCTTTGCTGTTTTTTTGTTAATATTATAACATGGTTTTGTTTTGCTTTATTCTTTTCTAACAGTAAATGATTAATGGAATCTTTGTTAATTATTTAGGAAATACTGTCTTCTCTAAGATCTGGTACAAAATCAACTCAAGATGAAAATTCAGAGGAAACTCCCAAGACCAATGCCAAGAGGAAACGCACTCCAGGAAAAGAAAATGTATCTACCCTGTTTGAGTCTAAATTTTTATATTATAAAATGAAAATTTCATGATGTATTCATTAGAGCACTTTTCTTTGGGGAAATTTTTTTTTGGTAGCTTTTTGGTTTGTAATGGACCAAATCTGTTGGATTTCTTTTTAAATGCACAACTGATTTGGTGGAATATTACAAATCTATGTTCTATTTCCTGCTGTTACTGTGCAATATTGTCTTTCTTCTAGGTTCTGCCCCCTTTATTATTGGGCAGGAAATAGCAAGTGATTATTCAAGTCTTTAGTGGGTTGATTTTTTTCTTATGTTACATGTTAATGTTCTGTATTATATTGTTTAATAATAGTTTCAAATCACATGGAGTTCTGGCTATGTTTTGCTAATTACTGAATTTTCATTTTATTCTCACCTTGATTGCTAACTATGTGGCTATTGTATCAGGAGTCTGACACCAAGGAATATGGTCAAAACCTTGTTGGTTTACGGGTTAAAGTTTGGTGGCCTAAGGATCGTGAGTAAGTACTTAGCATTTCTTCATTTTTGACATGCTGTCACTGGAAATTTTTGTTAACAAGGGGCAGGGAATTCTATATGATGTTTCACGTTTACTTGTCAATATTAATCTCTATTTTTTGCCACATGTTTGCAAGAGCTGTTTGGTATATATGGATCACCTGTTTTTAGGCCTGTTAATCTGGAATTTGATTTCATTATATTTGCAACGTGTGGATTACAGTTGTTATAAACCTTTTTGGTGAAGTTATCATGGTCTTGATGGTTTGAGCACAAGATTTTCCTTCCTGGCTTATTTCGTGTTTTTTCTTAATTTATTTCAACAGTGTGTATGTTGAACTATCCTTATCACAGTTACACCGGATTACTTTTCATAAACTGCAACAGTTGCCCTCTGTAAAATTCCAGAGAAAGCTTTGATGTGAAATAGTGTGAGAGTATATATTTTGAATTAAACCAGGGTGTATCCTCTTTTGTGGGTTTGGGTTCACCCATGCATATTCTATTTATGCTCTTAGTTTGCCTTTTTATTTTGGTGGAATAAAAATATATATTATCTGTTTGCGTTGACACTTACATAATCTTTTACAGGTTTTACAAAGGTTTCGTTGATTCTTTTGATTCTTCCAAAAAGAAGCACAAGGTGATTCTGCAGTTTAAGTCATATCTCTACCCTCTCCCTCCCATCCCTGGAAAAAACTTGTGTTCTTTGTTCTGTTGTACTGCTTTGCCCCTTTAAATAGTAATTGTTGCATCTTTAACTATTTATCACAAAATCAAGATGGCTTAATCCCTTACTTGAAGGTATAGTTTTAAATGGCCAAAAAAGTAAATTACTAGTACTACTATTATGTGCCTGTTTGTTTAAGCTTTTTTAATTAAAAAACAAACCTAAAATTGGGAAAGTTTTTTGGAAAAAAAGAGAGCAAAGTCCCAAACAAATGGAAAAATCAATTTTAGTGCTTTATTCATGAGCTAGAAAAAGTAGCTTATAAAGAAAGTTCTAAACAAGATATATCTTAAAAGTATTTTTTTTTTCCCAAAGCTTTTCCAAATACTCCTTCTATTTATTTTCTTCCAACAGTTGTTTTCTATTGTAGGTCTCGTATGATGATGGTGATGAAGAAATATTAAATCTTGGGAAGGAAAAATGGAAGGTCATTGAATCTGACTCGGATACAGATGGGGTAGGTCTCTGCCTTGTTTTTTTTACATTAAAATTTCTCTACATCTAAATTAATGGCAATTATTTCTGTGGACAGGAAGAAGGAAATGATCGTGCAAGTCTTGATGCTTCGACTGATATGTATGTGCTGCATATTGTTGATATGATTTGTTATAGATACATCTTTTGGTTAAATTTTAGAAAATTATCCTATATTATTTTGCATGTGTTTGTCTGGTGTATATATAGTTATATATATTGTGCTATGTTGCCCACTTGTGTAAAGTATATCTGCATGTGTTCTTGACCTGGTTGGTGTGTCGTCGCTGTTGTTTCTGCTTGTTACTGATTTGTTGGATGCATTGTATGAATGAATGATACCATGTCCCCATAATCTCAACATACTTTATTTGCAAATGTGTATTTTCTGAATGATGATTTGTCTGTGCCTCAAGTTGAATTTGAAAATAAATTTTTTGATATGATTTTTCTTATGGCTTAGTTCTGAGCGATTTTTTTTTCTTCTGTTTCTGGCTAATCCAGGATAGTTGTTGCCATACTGTATATTTTGATGTCATAGCCATTCCAATTGTCTATCAATGCCTTAATTATTAAAGCTATCGCAAAACCAGAGTATGTAGTTGTCGTTTGTATTAGTTAAATGTAAAAGAATACGTTGTGTATTGATCTGTGTCAAGGAGTTACAATATATAGAGACCCTAATGGGCTTAAGTGTAAGGCCCAAACCTAATCCAAACCTAATCCTAATACAGTCAGAATACAGTCAGACTATTTACGGATAAGACAGAATCCAATCATATCTAATCAAATCTAATCATATCATATCTAATATTCTAACACTCCCCCTCAAGCTGGTGCGTATATATTATGAGCACCAAGCTTGTTACAAATGTATTCAACCCGAGGACCTCTAAGAGCTTTAGTGAAAACATCTGCTAGTTGATTAGACGAGTTGACAAAAGCTGTCTTGATTTCTCCTGACTGAATCTTTTCCCGAATGAAGTGACAATCAATCTCTATATGTTTGGTCCTCTCATGAAAAACAGGATTAGAGGATATATGTAGCGCAGCTTGATTATCACAGATGAGTGTCATGAGTTGTTTCTGTTCACAAAGATGAAGCTCCTGAATCAACTGCTTTAACCAGATCAACTCACAGGTAGTATTTGCCATTGCACGATACTCAGCTTCTGCACTAGATCGGGAAACAATAGGTTGTTTCTTGCTTTTCCATGAGATTAAGTTTCCTCCGAAGAAGACACAATAACCAGAAGTAGAGCGTCTGTCCGAGGGTGATCCTGCCCAATCGGCATCTGAGTAACCACAAATTTCTGTATTTCCCTGATCCGAATACAACAAACCTTTTCCTGGTGCTCCTTTGATGTATCGGAGGATCCTCACAGCAGCATCCCAATGTGAATCACAAGGGGAATCAAGGAACTGACTGGCCGTACTGACAGCGAAAGAAATATCTGGCCTAGTCACAGTAAGATAATTGAGCTTCCCAATTAGCCTCCGATAACGTCCAGGATCAGATAACGACTCCCCCTGTCCGGGTAATAACTTGACATTAGGATCCATAGGTGTATCAACTGGTTTACTCCCCAACATACCAGTTTCTTCTAGGATATCCAAAGCATATTTCCTTTGACAGATAGAAATGCCCTGTCTTGATTGCGCCACCTCAATTCCCAAGAAGTAACGCAACTTCCCAAGGTCCTTTGTTTGAAATGTACTAAACAAATGCTGTTTTAACTGACGAATTCCGTCTTGATCACTTCCGGTGAGAATGATGTCGTCAACATAGACTAACAAATAGATACACTTATCAGGAGATGTAATCCTATAAAACACAGAATGGTCAACTTTACTGCGGATTAAGCCAAACGCCTGAACAGCAGAACTGAAACGACTGAACCATGCTCGAGGAGACTGCTTGAGACCATATAAGGATTTCCGAAGACGACACACCTTTCCAGACTCCCCCTGAGCAACAAAACCAGGTGGTTGCTCCATGTAAACTTCTTCTTGTAAATCACCATGAAGAAAGGCATTTTTGATGTCAAGTTGAAGGAGTGGCCAGTGACGAACAGCAGCAAGGGCAAGAAAGAGGCGGACTGACGCCATCTTAGCGACCGGAGAAAATGTATCGCTATAATCAAGGCCAAAGATTTGAGTAAAACCCTTGGCAACTAAACGTGCCTTGAGACGATCAATATGGCCATCAGGTCCAACTTTCACAGTAAAAATCCAGCGACAACCAACTATAGACTTCTCTGGAGGAGCAGAAACAAGGTCCCAAGTGCCATTGGAATGAAGTGCAGTCATCTCATCAAGCATTGCTTGGCGCCACCCTGGATGGGAAAGTGCTTCACCTGTGGTCTTAGGAATAGAAATAGAAGAAAGACTAGAAACAAAGGTGAAATGAGGTGAAGAAAGACGGTCATAACTCAAAAAGGTATAAAGAGGATAAGGGTTACGAGTAGTACGTGTACCTTTTCTTTGAGCAATGGGAAGAGTCTCTGATGAAGGATCCGGAGGGGAAGAAGCAACAGCAGTGGGCGATGAGTCAGCAAGAGTCGAGTCGACAGGAGGCACAGTTTTGCGACGCTGATAGGTGAGAAGTGGACGGTCCTCAGGTATAGAAGCAATAGGTTGCTCATCTGGAATAGAAGCACCTGCAGCTGGCAAAGACAAGTCAAGAAAAGGGACAGGAAGTACATGATCAACCTGTGACATCTGAGATGGGATAGAATTAAAGGGTTGTTGATCAAGAAAAGTGACATCAGCGGAAACTAAGTAACGCTTAAGGTCGGGAGAATAACAACAATAACCCTTTTGAAGACGAGAATAACCAAGAAAGATACACTGAAAGGCTTTGGATGTTAACTTATCCTTACCAGGAGTGAGATCATGAACAAAACAAGTACAACCAAAGACATGTGGAGTTAGAGGATAAAGAGGAACATCTGGAAGCAATAGATTATGAGGAATGTCATTGTGGAGCACAGATGAAGGCATGCGATTGATGAGAAAACAAGAGATGAGTACAGCATCTGCCCAGAAGTGAAGAGGAACCTGCATATGAATAAGAAGGGTACGGGCAGTTTCAATGAGATGTCTGTTTTTACGTTCAGCCACCCCATTTTGTTGTGGAGTGTGAGGACAAGTAGTGTGATGTAAAGTACCTTGTGTGGCCAATAAATTAGAAAAATCAATAGAAACATATTCCTTAGCATTATCACTACGTAGAATACGAATAGAAAAACCGAATTGAGTATGGATCTCAGTAGAAAACTTTTTATAAATGGAAAATAACTCAGAACGATTTTTCATTAAATAGGTCCAAGTGCAACGGGAAAAATCATCAATAAAGGTAACGAAATACCGAAAACCTAAGACAGACAAGGTACGACTTGGACCCCAGATATCTGAATGAACAAGAGAGAAAGGGGCATCAGCTCGTTTATTGACTCGACTGGAAAAAGAGGAGCGTGTATGCTTCCCTTGTTGACATGACACACAATCTAAAGACTGAAGACCGGACAAAAGAGGAACCATTTTCTGCAACTTTGAAAGACTTGGATGACCAAGGCGACTGTGGATAAGTTGTGGAGATTCTGTGAGAGAGCATGCTACTGAAGGACGAGGCACATCCAGATAATAAAGCCCCCGTGACTCACGACCCACTCCAATCATTTTCCCCGTACCCGGATCCTGCACAGAAACAGAATGGTTAGAGAAAGTAATGGTGCAAGTGAGGGAGTGGATCAACTTACTAATAGAAATTAAGTTATAAGGGATGCCAGGAATGTAATAGACAGATGTCAGGGCCAAGGTAGAGGTCGGACGAGCTTGTCCAATCCCACAAACTGGGGCTTTGGTTCCATCCGCAAGGGTAAAAGACGGTAAATGATCAGAATAAGTAAGAGATGTAAAGAGTTCCTTATTACCACAGAGATGATCGGTAGCACCGGAGTCAAATATCCAAGTGCCAAGTGATGTAGAATGAGAAACACAAGCAACGAGATTACCAGTATAAGGCTGAGACTGAGGAGAAGCCTTCCTGAGAGGGGTTTGGAGTGCAGCACAGTCCGAACCTGAACCAAATGATGCTTTGTCTGACTGAGCTATATTTGCAACAATAGAAGGAGAGTTAACCTCCGAGAGATCAGGAGATGCTGCTGCCATTTAAAGATAAAATATAAAAGCCGTAAACGAAGGCAAACGATATCCAATCAAGAAGAACCACGCGTCTAAGGTCAGACCCACAGAGAAACAATCACAGATCCAGAAAGGGGAGGAGAAGGCGAGCTTCTCTGTCCAAGACCGGCCGGAAAAAGCCGCCGGAATAGTGCTCACGCGCCGGCAGAAGGTGGCGCGTGAAGCCCACGCGCAGTGAAGACAGGTGGCGCGTGACGGCGCGTGGGAGATGCGTTGCTGACCGGACCACCACAGACCTGGTCGCCGGGAAGAAAAGGTCCTGATCGCGTGAAGTTTGGTCGGAAAAGTCGCCGGAAAAAGTCTCTGGTTGCCTGAACAGTGATTCTGACGGCGGGCGGTGGTTCCGGTGGCCGTCGGAGGTGCTGACGCGTTTGGAAAAATCACTCAGAGGCTGTTTACAGCCCTAGAAGGCTTGCCGGAAGGACGCACGGCAAGGAAGAGGACTCCTAAGCAGTGGGCTTAGGTTTTTAAAGCAAAAAAAACAAGGTTTCTGAGAGGAAGCGAGGGTTCCTAGAACGAAAGAGCTCTGATACCAAGTTAAATGTAAAAGAATACGTTGTGTATTGATCTGTGTCAAGGAGTTACAATATATAGAGACCCTAATGGGCTTAAGTGTAAGGCCCAAACCTAATCCAAACCTAATCCTAATACAGTCAGACTATTTACGGATAAGACAGAATCCAATCATATCTAATCAAATCTAATCATATCATATCTAATATTTTAACAGTATTTTTAGGTAAATTTGGTGATAAATTGTATTGAGTGCTAAAATATATTAAAAAAAAGTCAAGAAACTGTTAATATCTTTTGATAAGAAGAAAACATTTTTGACAATCTGATCTACTCATCTTGTAGTTTTTTGGTTAACTGGTATCTGGATGGAAAGTGCCACATTGTAGGGCATGACCATCTGAATTCTTTGTAAAGCAATTGAGATATGTGCTGTGTTGGAAAATGGTAATAATTTTTTTTTTATCAAGTGAAAAGAATGTGTTAGTATATTGTTTCATGTTCCCCTCTGCCATCAAGTATTCAATTGGATGTCTCTATTTATTTCTGTATATTGTGATTCTCTTTGGTGCTGTGGGAAACATGGTGTGCTTTCTAGCTGTTTCCTTATTTGGCCTTATTTACATTGTACTGTTCTATGTTCCTATTCAGGCACCCAAAGAAGAAAGGGAAAACTGCTGGTGAATCAACTAAGAAAGGAAAGACGGATGCTTCTTCCAGAAGGTTTGTGAATATCAAGAAATAAATTTCTGTGCCACCCTTTGTTTGATATCTAATTTTTTTTACTTAATTTCTAGTGGTGGAGCAGCAGCGTCCTGTAGATCAAAGGGCTCGTCCATGAAGTCTAGCCATAAGTCCAAAGATGGCAGCAAATCCAAAGATTCCAAGACTATTAACAAATCCGAGGATGAAGTTAGTGGAAAATCTAAGGACAGCACTCCCAAAAGTGGTAGCAGTAAATCTATTGCTGCAGCACAAAAAGTGTCTAGCAAATCAAAGAACACTAATAGTTCCAAGACAAGCAAATCAAAGAATGAAGATATTAGCACGTCAAAACTTTCTGCCAAGTCTAAGCAAGAAACCCCCAAGAGCGGAAAATCCATGCAAGAAACCCCTAAGACTGCTGCTTCCAAGGGAAAACCCCCCAAAAGTGGTGGAAAGTCCAATGTCAATGGTACTGGCAAGGTGAAATCCGGTATATTGAAGAGAGAAGATTCAGAGAATGAGAACTCAGATGTTTCAGCAAGAAAGGTAGAAGATACAAAGGGCAAGAAGGCAAGTTCATCGAAGGGACAAGGAAGCGAGACCAAGAGTGGAAAGAAGCGTAGGAGAAGCTAAGTGGATATTATTCTTGCTGTTTATACCTTAACTGCGTGCTTGTCTTCTGCTTATCATAGTACTCTTCCTTACAGCATTTAAATATTTCTTTCGCCGGCCTGAGTCCTCAAGTGAATCTCAAAGCCGTGTAGGTATCTGTTCATTTGTGGTAATTATCTCGTTGTTGCTAGCATTGATATCCTTAGTTAAGTTAGTTTAGTTGTAGTATGGGTTAGGATACTTAGTTCTTGTTCTTCATATTTTGGATGGATGTTTTTTTTTGAATGCAACAGCTGAGAACATTTGGTTAGCAGCCTTCATTGGAAGATTGCTTTGGCACTCCCCGATTCTGACAGGTTTATCAGAGTTTGTACATTGATAAGTTAAGCCGTGTTTATTGTTGAGATAATACTTACAGCATAATTGATGTGGTTGAGCTATTAAAGTTAAGGCACTAACTTGAGAATAACCTAATATTTGTTCGGTTTATTTAGTTTGCATGCTTGAGTGTTCAACGTTAGCGGGTAAATGAAAATCAGCGACATAGAGAAGCTTTAGTTTTCTGGGTTCAGTTTTGCAACATCTACTACTTGCATCAGGTAAGAACATGGTTTGTAGCTAGCCGAACTGGAAATATTTTAATGTACTCAGCATAAGAGTTTGAATATCCCATCCTTAAAGTGAGGATTCTCTATGCTCAACAACTGGTATGAGGGCTCAGTGAGGCCTAGTACCCCTCGAAATAAAAGTACGCAAAATTTAAGAGGTGCCTGACCTTTTAGAGGTTTCATATTTGTTTGTTCGGTTTTGTTTTTCCTCGTCACAATTTATGGAGTTAGGGTGTTTTATTTTTTAAAAATATACTTTAGCTATAAATAAGTGTTTCGATATCAGCTTTTCAAAAAATAACGTTTAAAAAAATAATCAAAATCATGTTTTTTTTAGCAATTATTTTTTGGGTTCTAAAAGAAACAAGACAAAAACTGATTTTTTTTTTTCTTCAAAAATAAAATTTGTCCTGACTTTTATCAATTCCTAGCTGCAACTGTTGCGAGACGTCATTATTAAAATTTACTTCCATGATTTGTTTTCATATAATTTCTTTTATAGTAATTGTATACATAAAAAGCGCTTTTTAATTTTAACATTTAAATAATTTTTTTAGTTAAATGTATTTATCATTAGTTAAATGTATATATCATGTATTACATTTAAATGCAAAATAGCTTTAATTTTTATGAAAAATCCTTTAAAAGTAATAAGGCATAAAAAGTTTACTCATTCAAATGAGAAACTAAATAACAGGCCGCAACTCTTACGAAATAAAGTTATTTTTTATTTAGCAAAAAAAGAAAATACAAAATATTTTAAAAAAATTATGTTACATAAGAGACTTCAAAATTTTCTAAACACCATATGTTTTTTTTTCCCTAAACCTAAAAGGATATCGTTTTAAAAAGTTTTAAGAATGCTAGAGATAACATTGTCCCATGATTTTCCCTTAGTAAGTGACTAAATATGATTTTAGAAGAAGGAACATCAACCAAATGGTGGTATAGATGGTGTAGGAGAGTTGAGTAGGTGGTGAAAAAATCTCGGTTCGATTCCCAACAATATCACCTTTAGGAGGAGCATAAAATCTTACTTCTTGACTCGTCTCGCATCCGAAATTAGTCTCGTAAAATCAGTTGCCTGAAATTAAATATTTTGTGATGCAAGTCATTGCAGCTTCAGTTTTAAAATTTAACGATGGTTTAAATCTTTCACAAACTCCACACGAAAGAAAAGGTTCGTCATGTTTTATTCTATGCATTTCAACCAGAGACAAAAACTAGAAAGTCAAGTCTTCTTTGTCAAGGAGCTGATAACTTATATGGAATCAATCGTAATTTTTTAAGTATCTATTTGATATCCTAGGGTCAAATTTTGTTCCATCCCCTTTCCTTTCTTTCCGAAGTCTATGAGGTTTTTTCCCCCCTTGTGGAGGTTATCTTTTCTTAATTTGTTGGTTGTCAGAACTCCAAATCTTTAGAGCTGCGTTTGATAATTGATTATTAACTTCTAATTTGGCAGGTTGAAGGTCAGAGCATCCTCTACTTTCTACTTTCTTTTCTCTCCTTATTATTGTTGTTTATTGTTTATTGTTTATTAGCCTTTTCTTCACTTTATATCGGTCAAACATTACTGCGAAAGTTACCTGTCGTGTCTCTTTACAGAAGAGGCTAAAAACCAATTGAAGATATGATTTATGAAGCAAAAGTGACCTTGCCTTTTGTCCTCCTGCAAAAGGCAAAAGTATTATCAACGATCACTACTCATTTTATACTTTTTGAATTAATTTGCAAACTCCACTTTTTCTTTTCTAGCTGCATACTCTCTTTCTGTTAGACATTAATTATGATTCATTGTGCATGCATGATGAATCAGAAAGAAGCATTTGGTTGACAATTAAGCGAAATATATATTGTTTAACTTTTTTCTGCATTTATTGCGCATATAAATTATCTGCAGTAAGTCCAATATGATTATACGACGTCGTTTTGGAGAGAAAATCATGGTGTTTTTGTAATTTTAATTTATTTTAGGGTTATAATAGTCTTTATATTTATAATTTTTTAAGATTTCAATACCAAAACGACGTCGTTTTAGAAAAAATACAGATAACTTATTTGCAGTAATTACAGACATATTTTTCCCATTGCTTAAGGGTTCATTTTTTTTGCAGTTACTGCATATAAGTTATCTGCAGTAAACCCAATACGACGTCGTTTTGGGGAGAAAATCATGGTGTTTTTGTAATTTTAATTTATTTCAGAGTTATAATAGTCTTTATATTTATAATTTTTTTAAATTTCAATACCAAAACGATGTCGTTTTGGAAAAAATGCAGATAACTTATTTGCAGTAACTGCAGAAATATTTTTCCCATTGTTTAAGGGTTCATTTTTTCTGCACTAAGCCTAATACCACGTTGTTTTGGGGGGAAATTATGGTGTTTTTGTAATTTTAATTTATTTCAGGGTTATAATAGTCTTTATATTTATAATTTTTTAAGATTTCAATACCAAAACGACGTCGTTTTGGAAAAAATGCAGATAACTTATATGCAGTAACTGCAGAAATATTTTTTCCATTGTTTAATTAGTCTTATTTAATCCTAACTTAAATTTATATAATGGTTTCTTTTCTAATACACAAAATTGAAATATACTTAAATTTATTTTAAACCATGATGATCAACGATATAAAATGTGGAATAGCCATGTATGTATGTGACAAGATCGATCTTTCCCCATTGATGGGATCATTCAGTATAATTTTTTTTTTGCTGAACATCTAAATTTAAAAATAGTGTTTTGTCGGAAAGCAAAAGCTTCTGGGATTCTGGGACTCAGCACCAGCTATCAACTGATTCAACTTCCGCTCGCAAATCGCGCAAATAAGTCACTTGAGATTAATGTCATAATTTTTCTAGCATGAAATTTTATTAAATTACGGAACTTTAAAAGTTTGATAATTACTCCAGCAACTTGAGTAGTAACACGCGCAAGGCGTAATCCAAACCTATGGCTATACTGACTAGGACATGACAGCCCTATCCCCAAAAATGAAGTTTGATCAGCAATTACGATATTCCATTTCATTCCAGATTAAACTTCCACTTTTTGGTATAAGCTATTGAAGTTTAATTTCAAAAATAAAATTAAATATTGTATATTCGACATAGAATGGATGTAAAGTTGTGCTTATTTTATTACAAACTGATTTTCTCGTTTTAAAAAATAACACAGGAGGATGTAAAATGTAACACTAAATGGATGTAATTTAATTAGATAAATTTGAAATATTACTAATATATGTTTGAATAAATAATTATTTTCTATATCATTAAAGAGTTTTACTTCTCTTATGTACTATGAGAAAAATTATCTTATATTGTGAGATAAATAAAGTGGGGCCAACCAATTTTTTAAAAAAGGAAAGAAAGAAAAAGAAAGGCACATCTTTTGATGTGAGTATAACATGGGAGATGAATCTCGTGTAAATAAGAGTATAATTTTCCATCATTAAAAGAGTATGATTATAGGGAGTAGATCCTCTCATGTGCTAATTAACATGACCATGTCATGTGAGACAATCATAACCATACATGGGTGATTTAATGGTGATAAGAGAGGAGAGAGAAAAAATATAAGGATAGGAAGTTACATCATCGTTGATTTAATTATTAATGGTTAAGATCCTCCCACATGACATGATCATGTTAAATTACACATGAGAGGATCCATTTCCATGATTATAATTATACAAGTGTTTTTTGGGGTACATTATACAAGTTTTTTCTAATTAGATTATAATTATAATATAATTATCAGGTTTATCATGTTAAATTTAATATTTTAAACAAAATCCAAATATAAATGAGTTAACAGGTATGCTAAGGGCCCGTTTGGATGAGCTTTTAAAAAAATAACTTTTTATGCATTGCTTTTTTTAAAATAACTTTTTTTAAAAGGTAAAGTTATTTTACGTTTGGATGTATGATCTGAAAATCACTTTTACATAAAAAAGTTGTTTTGATGTTAAAATAAAATAAAAAAGCACTTTTATATATAAAATTACAATAAAGGAGAGATAAAATAGCATGATCGTGAGATAAGGAGAGATAAAATAGGTATGATAAGATAAGGTTAAAATTGAATTTTAAAAATTTATATTATCTTTTTTCTAAAAAAAAAATTATATTGTCTTTTAATTTCTGCTTTTTTCAAAAGCAACCAACTACTGTCTATAGAAAAAAAGTAGCATTTTAACTCTTATTTTAAAATTTTCTTTTTTAAAAAGTTGTTATCCAAACATCTAAAATTTCTCAAAAAAAAATTTATTTAAAAAAAAATCAACTTTTTTAGAAATAAAAGCCCATCCAAACGGGCACTGAGCAGCCAAAGCTTATAATTTAACTCTTTACACTATTTTTTTTCTTTTTGAATAATAAAACAAGAAAAATATACTTCAATACAAACTCTCTATTTCTTTTTTCCTAAATAAATAGATATAATAAAAAAATTAAAAATTATCTGTAAAAATAGGAAATGTATTTTGACATAAATAAATAGATATTCCAATTTAAAAGGTATTTTTATCTTTTGAGATATCTACTTTACTTATTTTGACGGATGTTATGGTAGTGTATCATTTAATGTTAAAAATTTACTTGGTCATATGAAATTTTTATATTTATCTTTGTTTTTACATGCATTAAATACGTGAGATCTAATTACATCTTATTAATATTAATAAAGAAAAATAAATACAAATATTTCACATTTTAACGTGAAAATATCTATACGGCATTTTTCATATGAATTTGAAAAGAATGATGGATAACTGCCATCTTTGCCACAAATATATCTTTTAAGTTTGGGAAAAGTATTTTTTCTACAACTTTAAAATGATATTGTTTTGTCCACCAAAAAAATAAATAATATTGTTTTGGGATTTGGGAAGGGTATTTTAAAATTTTTATTTTTTATT